GTGCTTGGTTCCTCGGCTGGTCATAATTTATCTATTTTTACTCTATTTATAGCCTATCTAGCAATTTATCAGGAATACTTGATTTATATTAGACACACTATACCTCTATATACCCGTATATAAATACTTTATTTTATTTTATTAATTGCAGAAGTTTTCTCACTAGTATATATATGCATTATAATTAACTGTCCTGTGTTTTAACAAGCGTGCACTGACTTTAGTCTAGCATAGACAGACAGACCACTCACAGTGTGCAGACGAGCAGCTGTTTGGGTGTGTCCATATACAGTGCTGGATCGGGGAATAGACTGTGTGCCCAAAGAAGGATCTACTTAAACTCATCATATTCCAGCCTCAGAGCTGCTGGGAGTGCATCCTCAATGTGTCTGCACAGACTGGATAGGCGGGATATAGTCTCCTTTTGCTCTCTGTGCTCCTCTTGTGTTACATAGAGGGCTGCATACTTTTGTGTCCTGTCTACTAGTCTGGCTGTCTTGTCTCTCTCGCTGGTGTAGGTTCTATCCAGATAATCAAGGCTCTCTTGTATGCCATCCATTTTGATCAAGCTTTCTTTGACCGCCTGGCCTAGCTCCGCAGCCTGGCCTGGGTGGCCTGTCTGGCAGGCGTGCTCTTTCTCGATCTGCCTGGCTTCGCACAGCGCGTGCATTCGGGCAGTCTTTGTGTGTAAATACTCCAGCTCCGCCTTCATTGCCTTGCACTGGGCCCACTGGAACTCTATCGCAGCCAATAAATACGCCATAAAGTACTCCTTTGTAACAGAGGTGCTTTCTTTTGCAGCGCGCACTGCACCCCACTCCACACTTAGTGCGCAATAGATGGCATCCACGGCCTTCTTGAGACTTTCCTTCTTCAAGCCCAGCTCTTCAAACCTAGCTATTTTCATGCCATATTCTGGACTGGCTGGCGGCCTTACTAGGCTCTCTGCTGTGTACTCCTCGTACGGCTCGTGCATGCTGGACAGACTGTCTGACTCTTCAAGGACCCGAAGCACCTTTGGCAGCACCTGCCTCTTTATTCGGGCTATGCCCATTGCCTCTCTGTCCAACGCAACAAACAGATCCCTGGCATGCGCATCTGCAGAATTTAAACCTGCTGGTCTGTGTGCCCTCTCTTGCTGTATATCGCATGCACACACGTCCTTCGCAGTGGTTATGC